TGGACTGGCATGCAGTTCAGGTAGGCTCTGTTCCTGAAGCAGGTCCCAGGCATTTTAGACAAAGGTTGCACTTCTGAACCTTCTTGGTAAGTCAGAAAGATTTACTAAGGTCTTTCAAGACCGTAGGTTGGGTGGGATGAGACAGCACCAAGGAATTTCCAGTGAGCACCCAAACTTCCAAACCAAACCTTTGGGTTTTTTGCCTGCACCAGCTAAAGGTCACCGTGACACAGCCCTGGAGACAGCTGGGCAAGCCCTCGGCACGCTGGTGCGGGACAGAGCTGTCCCGGACGGGTATGACCCTGTTCAGCATTGCCTCTCTCTCCCGCTCTCGCTGCGCGAATCCTGCTAAGCAAGCCCTCGGAGGAGACCCGCCAGCAGACAAATGGCTCAGTTATGAGGGATGAAAATCAATCTAGTCCCTAACGTTGTGTTTTTTCAATACTCCATTCATCCATAACGCAGCGAGGCTCCACTCTGAATAATGTCGCCTTTTGTCCCGCCAGGCCCTCCCCGCTCCCTCGTGGAGGGTGACTGATGGCAGACGAGGCTGTCGCGGGCCAGCGCGCACCTCTGCCTCGCCGAGGGACGCGTGCCGCCGCGTTTCCACTAAACCCACGCAGCCGCCTGCCCCCAGCCGCGGGGCCCTGCTGCTGGCACCAGTTATCATCACAGGCGACTTTTGTGAAGGAGCCAGAGCGCGTTCCTGTGCCCCTGGCAGGGGCAGCAGCCGGCATTAACCATCAAGGCACCAGCCGCGAGGACAGCCGTCCCCACGGCTACAGCACGGCTGTCCTCACCCTGCGCTCCTGCACTTCTCCACCTGCAGGTAGTTTCCCTGCGCTCAGGGTTACGCGGCAGACTGACCCGATCTGCCTCAATTCAGTGGGGTCACGACACTTTAAGCATTCTTATATATTTAAAGACCGACTTTAAGCCGTTAGGAGCCATTGTGGCACTGCAGAAAAGCACAGCATCAGTTTCGAAAGGTTTCTGAACGCAGGTGGTTTCTGAAAGCGCCTTCAAACTCATGTCGCTCAAGCCGTTAGGTGTCTCGAATGTCTGAAACAAATCAACCGTGCATCCTACCCAGCAAGTAACATGTACCACGAACAGCCCGAGTACTTCCTAAGTACTGACCACCGTATCTGCAGCAACACGTACACAAAAGGAACTTGGATCTAACAAAGGGCACTGACAGTCCTGTCTATTTTTACCCAAAATAATCTATATCACAGCAAACAAATTATGACAAAAGAGCTCTGTTCACTCATTGAAAAATCCTTCCTTCTGATTGAAGATGAAACATATTTGGTCCAGAACTGAGCCAGCGTTTCACACTCCCGGAACTGGACCTATCCTTTCTGCTTTCTGGCTGTGATTTCTTTCTGCTTTTCAACTATTCAGACAATCTCCTTAGAAACTGCATTCTTTTCAGTCTCCATCACCCTGCCGGATCATTATGTATTTGTAATTACCACACTAACCAAAAAAAGCGTTATAAATCCACATACCTGTTTGATATTTTCTTTCCAGTATAAGGATGGATATATTAAATCCCCAACACAAATATTCTCTTTTGAAGTAAAGAAAAGAGCTGGCTAGTTAGTTAAAAATTAAAAAAAAAAAAAGATGAAATGAATATTCCCTCTTTTCCCACAAAAGGTGATGGGGGAAAGGCAGGAATTTTTCCCTTAGGCGTGGGGGAAGGTGAGATTTTGTTTAGTAAATTAAGAAAAAAAAACAAGAAGGAAGAGAAAAAGAATCTCATCCATCAACCGAACAGCTCCAATCTGTCATCTCTTTTCACCTTTGGGGACTGGATGTTGCTGCTGTCAGAGGCAAGTTGGCTTAAAGCTCTGTTGCAGGTAGGAAGGCAGCCCTGTATTCACTGTGTGCCATCCTGGGGCAGATCATCTCAAAATAAAATGACAAAGAAAGGGAGGAGGAGGAGGAGGGAGGGAAAGAAGAGGAAGAAGAAGAAAGAGAGAAACAGGAAAAGAGGGAGAGAGAGAAAGAGAAAGGAAGAGAAGGAACACCTTTAAAGAGACATAGTGGGGTGGGGAATGGCTCAGGTTTCAGGAAGGCAGACAAGGATACATGCTTAAATTGGGCTCTGGCTCAGCGCTGCTGAGGGAAAGCGGAGCCTGGTTTACATCTTCGGAAAGGGAGACAGCGTCTCCTGAAGCTGTTTGAGAGGATTTGGGCTTTTTAGCTCCCTCTACCTTCCTGCCTCCCTCCACCCTCCTCTGTCACGACTAAATACCCACTTTGGGGGAAGTCAGCTAGATCGTTTTGCTGCAAATATTTTTGTCCATCCCCTCGCCAGCAGCCAGGATCCAGCAGAAGGGGAGAGTCTAGACACCGGTTGCCCTTCCCAGGGGACTCAGAGGCTTCTTCCTCGGGGGCTCCATTCCTCTTGCGAAATCCTCATTGCCTAGATTGGACCCATTTCCACGGGTGGTTGGGGCAGGATAAGGGCACCAAACCCACTGTCCTCCCCACATGTTCCTGGGCAGACATGCCAGGGAGTTCCCTTCTGAGGTCTTTTTTGCAGGCTCTTTCCTGCAACAGCAGTCAAAAGTGGCCACTCTATTTGGCTGAAGACATACAGAGGCTTGCCATGTTCTTTCAAGGGATTCAAGCCTGTTCTCCCTAGCCAGCAGTGAAGGATACCCAGATACATGCCCAACAGGCCTCTTGCTGGTTCAACAGGTCAGCCTACAGTCACTGTGCAAGACATTGGTGGCAGCTGGGCTCCTCTTTTCTGAGGATGAAGTCCAGGAAATATTTTCCAAATATTCTTCAAAATCAAAAGATCAGAAGATTTGGGTTGTTGTTGCCCAGCCTCCCATTCATGATAAACTTTTCTCATCTACCTTCATCACCTCCTATTCTGCATGGACATGTTGTCTCCTTGAGCTCCCAGCTGGGACTAAATTCACAGTTTTGCCAACCTGCAAGTCCCACAGGCTGGGGGTGATCTCTTAGAGCCCCAGCTTCTGGAGTCCCATGGCTATATGGGCATCTTACTCTCTTATTTTAAAAGGAAGTGTGTGTTTAACCATTACCATTGCAAGCAAACACCTGACAGTGTAAGATAGGTCTCAGCAGTCTTGAAAGCAACCCAAAAAGAACCCCCAAAACACTGGGTTTCCTCGTCTTGTGAATTCTGAAGCTCACCCAACAAGCTGAGGAGTCTGGTGTGCTTTTGGTTGTGAACAAGTTGAGCCTATGATCAGGAGGATTTTTGCCCTTGCTTTCAGTGGAGACAGCAGTTGCTTCCTTGTTCTTCCTACTGGATTGCTCATTCCCTTTAGTGTCTGGGCTTTGCATTTTAACTCAACACAAAGCAGGCTCCCGCTACAACTGTCACTGACCGCACTGTTACCCATCTGCTATTACTTTCTTCTATGGATTCAGTAATTAGCAATTAGGCATTTACCTTTTATTTCCCAGTAGCAGCAAAGTTATAATTAGTCTGCTCACAAATGTAAGTGTTTCAAAGGTGCCTTTTCAGCCTGTTTTGCCTAAACTTTGAAAAACTCTCAGCCATCCTGGCTATCTGCCAGGGCCTGTGGGCTATAAATAATCATCTTTAAAACTGAAGTAAGATCCAAATCCAGACTTTGAACACCACGAACTAAGCCTCCCTAGATGCAAATGCACAAGCATAAAGCCAGCATCCTGAAGAAGCTCTCTGCTCTGCTCACGGATGTGATTTCTCTGGCCATTTGGGTAGAATCTAAAACGGCTTATTTTCAACGTCTACGTTGCTACTGCGTGTGTTTTGATTGGTTTGGCAGCATCAGGCTATGCGCTTATGCTGATTCGAGGAACAGAAAACACAGCCAGCTTTATCCAAGGAAACAGCCATAACATAAGAAAGGCTAATTATAACATTCCACAGGAGAGCACTTCTGTTCTCTTATTTGCTAGGACAAAAAAGCTCTTGTTTACCTTCACGATGGTCCCGCTGTCTAGTCACTCGTGGGCACTGGTGATATTCACTGTGCACACGGAAAGCCCGGTCCCGGGATGGGTCGGGGCCCACCAAGGCCATTCCCATGGACAGTCAACATCCGATGTACATACAACAAACAGCATCTGCTACAGCTACCTGCAGCAGCCGGGTGGAGAGCGCCCCAAGCAGCTGCGCCAAATCTCTCTTTTATGGCAGGGGTGGAAGCCAGGGAAAACAAGCAGCCCACAAACCTGCAGAAAACACAGAGTCTCCGGTGGGGGGGAAGAAAGGGGGGAAGAAAGGGGGGGGGAGCTTCTCTTTTCAACTATCTGGGAAGTACAGAGAGGAGAAACTAATTTGTATGTAATACACCATTGCTAGGAAATGTGTTGGTGATTTATAAAAAGGGTCTGGTGCAATATAAAAAAGCTATAAGCTGAAAAATAGGCATCTTTTTGCTGACAGGAGAAAACGTCAGGGCCTGATCTGTTTCTCAGGGCACCAGTTGCTGTTGTGAGCCATTAACTGGATTATAATGAACTACAGGTTTCCCCTGTTGTTTGTGGAGCTAAAGCACCAGGCATTTATGAGTTGCTTTCTAGCTGGCGTCTGCATTTCGGAGAGAACAGAACAGCTCAGCACAAAGGATGCTTTGCCTGCAGCAGGATTGGGAAGGGAAGGAAAAGCTGCGGCTGGTAGTCGGTGTGGAGCAGGGCTGCGGCTGTGTGAACCAAATGCTGCTCCCTGGTACCACCCGACTGCCGGTTTACATGGTGCAGGAGCAGAGCTCTGCGCCGCACCAGCCCACTGACCTGTGTCCTTAGAGGCCAGGCTGCAACCTCGTTCCAGGGACAGGGAGTATTTGCAGGGAGTGGAGGGGGCTCAGGCTAAACCCACAAACAAAACACAAATCTCCACGGCTGATGGCAATGCCACTGTAAGACCTGACAGCGCCAGAGAACAGGAAATAGCCACAGCTCCCCACGGAGCTCAGCTCATACATGCAAACCACGAACCAGCCCAAACCATTAAGCCCAAGGAGGGATAGCCTCCTAGAGAAATTAAATATCAGCTTCTTCCATTTCTACTGTCCTTGCAGCAGCCTGTGGGTACTTGGGCAATGCTCAGCCAACAGCAAACACAGTGGAAAGGCAGCAGGACTGGTCCACGTGCCACATCTGAACTGTGATTCGGCAGCGCTGTTCAGCCCCGCGGGTGGTCTGCTGCCACAGGGAATAAGGGCTGACACATTCTCGGATGCACTCTTTTTTGGACTGGCTTTCTAGTCTCTTTCTAACCCTTTGCAGGTATTTTTGTCCATATGTTCTTCCTGGGAAACATTATGCCTGATTCTCTTCTCAACTTGTGAGTTTGAGCCAGGCAAACCTCTCACATGGGGTAGGAGACTCATCCTTGCCCATCCCACAATGTCCTTCTCTTAGAGGGGATTGCTCTGCTCTTTCCGCCGCTCCAAGACCCCAGATAGCTGGTGCGACTGCCTGCAGCGTGGGATCCCAGGGAGAGGAAGCAGCAGTGCTGATGCTAAAAGGCAACGTTCCCTACTGACAGCTTAGGACCACAAAATCCCCCCTTTCCCATGTCCCAGGATGCTCCCATCGCGTCTCAGGACCAGGAACCTGTCCTCCTCACGCATGTGAATCTCAGCGTGGGCCCTAAGGCTTCCACAGCCTTAGGAGAAAGGGAAAGCCTTAATCATAGCATACAACCACATATGTTTCACCTCCTGTCCAGGTGTGTAAATTCTGCTTTGAGGTAGCTGGACGTGTGGCCCAGAGCATCTTACTGGTTAGCCTTTGTCCTATTTGATAATTAATTTCTATTTTTAACACATACTCTGACAGCTCTCTGCACCAGTACAGGCAGAAGGAAGGAAAAGGCAGAGGAAACAGCCGCTGCAGCCTCCAGGAAGGCATGGCGTTTGCACACGGCTGCAGCAAGATGGAGCTCCGTGGAAGGTGCCCGTCCCCTCCCTAAACAAAATCACCTTTGTTTGATCCAGTAATCTGTTTCCTGACAGAAACGTGCTGCAGAAACCGCTGCAGCCAGGTGAGAAAGAGCAGCCCAAGGACGCCGCACTGAAAGGAGGCTCTCAGGGCGGCCGGCGGATCTGGGCTGCCCTGCTGGGACCCCGAGCGGCCGCGCAGCGGCCCCCCTCCTTAGGGGGAAAGAGGAGACGGGACCCTGGCGGTAGCTGCATCCCTCCTGAGCACCCAGCCAGCAGCTGGTCCCCGCCAAGGCGCTGGAGATGAGCTGGGAAACACGGAAGAACATGCTCCTAAAAGCACCTTAAGGCACGCAGAGACACGGCACAATTAACACCCCTGGAGAATTTCAGCTGTTTGCTGAGTGTGCCTAAGCTAGGCAACTATTTACTTAAGTATTTATCTGTGGGAGGTGAGCGCCTGACCGCTGAAAACACTTTCACTGCTGACAGGAGAGAGTTTCAGGTTCTTTTCCTTGCACAGCCATGGGCAGGGCTGAGTCCTAAGATGGTGCCCAGGAGCAGCCTGGAGACTAAACTACTGCCCTGCTGCTAGCTAGAGCCTGTGCTTGGGTTGCCCGACTGTAAACCGTTCCTGCTGGGGGGTGCCGCTGACTCCTCCATCTCTCTGCATCGCCTCTCCCGTCATGATTTCTCCTGGGGCAAAATCTCGCTCTCCCACACGGCTCCAGGCAACAGAATCCCACGGCACAACAACCACTTACAGATGACGTGTCCATGGGGACTAGCACGCGGGGCCCTTTTCCACCCAGGTCTGCAGGCGCCGGCGAATGTCGCACCTGCTTTTGCTGAAGCATTACTTACTTTAAACAGGACTGCTTAAGTCACAGCGTAAGAGATTTTTAATAAAAGCCATATAGCCCAAACCTTGCTGAGGGTTACGATTTCGGAAGCGCGGACCTGTATGGGAACGTACAGTCTGAGAAGGTAGGCAGTGGTGGACCTTGCTGCTTTCCACGGTGTAAGAAATTGCATGGGGCAGAGATGCCAT